TAGCTCTATTTTTTTTTTAATTTTTATTTTTTTAACAGCAAAAGGAGATTTAGGTCTTTTAAAGCAATCTGACTATGACTACTCATTTTCTTTATCAGGAATATTACTGCACACCCTTAATAGGGAACCTTGTTTTGCTACTCCCCGTCTGTTCAAAACAGACCTTAGCCCATTAGAAGGTCCTCCCTTGTGTGGGAAGACCACAGCTGTTACTGTAAATCTCATCCAGTAACTGTATCACCCCCATTTTGTGGCTCTGAAGGATGAAATTGAGAAATGGAATACTGTGCAGTCATCCTTTACATCTCCAATTTTAGGCCTTTGCACATCATTTTCATGCTTTTATTCCAAATCAAACAACATTAGTGAGAAACACTACTCCGTGCTAAATGCCTAGCATCTAAGGCAGCACCTACGATCTTTGTTTTGGAGGATTTAGGATTTGGATGCAAGTTGGGGCTTTGTTAATGGTGGATGTTTTAATTTTTTTTTTAATTCCCTCTTTTCCCACCTTCCCCCCCCACCAAATCTTTCCCAATCTCCAGAATCTGCCAGAAGCAGAAATCTAGATGGTAGTGAGGTGCCTAAGATGGAGGATGCTCTGTTATGCCTACACAGAGAAAGTAGGAGCTCAGCATGGCTTACAAACACAACTTTAAAAAGGCTTCTGTTTCTTTAAATCCTTCTGAATAAAGTGGATCTAACTTCTTGTGAAGGATATTGGGGGCTTTAATCAGAAATAAGAAGTGGTTTAAATCATTAGCACAACAAAGCAAACTATAAGCTTGAAGATAAAAGTCTCAGGGGAAAGAGTCCTCTGAAAATAAATGGGACTTGATAGATTTCCATATCATTTATAACTTCCCTTAATTACACTTGGAAGACTTGCCAGTAAAACTGGAAAATTGGCAGCCTATATCCATTATAGTAATTTTGCCGACCATGGCAAGCAGCTGGCTTTACTGGATTTTATTTCCCATCACTCACAATTAATCATCAGCTGGAGATGTCTGAAACTCCTCAAAACGTAGCAATACTGTGTGACATTCAGGCCTCCTTAAAATGCTGAAATCTGCTGAGTAAATGGGCCGAGTTCCCCTTCCAGCGAACTCATTTTGGAGCGAGGCAGGCTGCCGGTTAATGAGTGCCACTTCGATAATCGGATGCGAATGTGAACCCTGACCTCATGTCAAAGGAGAGGACGCAGCAAGCTGGATAAAAGATCGGTGATTCAGATCTGCAAACTTTACACCAATTAGACAGAGAGCGGGGAAATACATCAGTGCCCATTGGGTTTATCAGAAAGACTTGTGGGGCTTGTGACCATTTTGTAAGCCTAACATGGGAGACGTCCTGTCACAATCGTTAAGTCTTTATGCGATGACGCACAAAAGTCTGCAGAAAGTGTACCGTATTCACAGAGATCCCGTGGTAGCAATGCCCTCGGGTGTGCGCTGTCTTTTTGTGTTTCTAGAACTTTAAAGAGCCCTATCTGTAAGTGCAGATAGTCTTTATGGTCCTCATGTAGGTGCAGTGAGAATGGATTGGGGTTGCTCCTTCTCAGATTCTGCTTCCACCCTGTGGCGTGAGTTGCTTGGTTGGGAAATGACCGGAGACAGTTCCCTGTCCTGTGTGTAACCTTTCAGTCGGAGGAGAGAATAACCACCGCGCAGTCCCTGAGTTATTCAAACAGTACAATTGACTGTTCCCAAATTCACATCACAAATGTTAGCAGCATCGAGATGTGAATACCCTCCTCTTTAATTATATTTTTATTTCTTCTTCTTTTTTTTTTCCTTTTTTTCCCTTTTTTTTTTCCCCTTATCACTCTATGGAGAACAAACTGAACACCTACTTTGAACTGTGCAGTAGATGGTGATAAAATGCAGACTGCAGGTCTAACAGTTAATCACTCATTTATTTTGATATACCAAGCAGTGTAAATGTTGATTTGTCTGTATCATAACTGTGTGAAAAAGATATCTGAGATTTATTTCTTTTAAGAAAAAGAGCCCTTTTATTTTACTTGGTTCCAATCAATCAGATTTTTTGTTTGATTTTAGTTGCCTTTTTTGACAGATTTGGGTCATCACCGAGACCTCTCTAAATTGAAATGTAAAGATGGTAGTATACATTGGTTTACCATCTACTGTAAGAAGTAAATTATACAGTGAAAATGCAGCACTAAAAATGGTCCAGATAAATCCTTAAATAAGTTAGCAAGAACTTATACACATCGCTGCAGTTTTCATTTGCCGGCTAAATAACAGGTAAAAGGATATGTGCAATTATGGAATGAAAGAAAGCATACAATGCTTAAAAGGCTGAAAAAGAGAAAAAAGAGATACAAGTGCCTAATTTTAGGATTTGTTGCTTTGCAACACAATGAGCAGAGCTGTAGAGGTTTAACATAAGAACAGTAATTAAACTTCTGTGCTTAAGTGAGACTTATGCCAAGGTAATTTTCAACAAATTGCGCATCATCAGAAGTACTGACACAGCATTTTCACACGTGCTACCTGCTGAGTGCCTTCTCCCTTCCAAATTAGTGAGACTCTAGATATTCACTGAATACTTTGACTATATATTTTGTGGTTTGAGGGGGGTTATTTCCTTCCCAGACACTGATTCCCTTGTCATCAACCCAGCAGGTATTATATAAAGCACAAAACTTTATTTTTGAGAAAGGGAAGAAAATGAGAAGAAATTTAGATTAAGGGCTATTTCCACCCCACAATTGCTAATATTTCGTGGCATTTTAGCACCATACTTAAGATCTACAGAGACAATTCTGTATTTTTCCAATAGATGTGTTTCCAGAACTCTGTTTAGATAATTACTAACTTGTTCATTTGCACACCATCCACCTGATGAAGCCATGTTACAGTTAAATTGCACCAGGGCTCAAGAAAAGAGTTTCTTGTGCCCTTGAAATTAGGCCACTGAATTCCAACCTGTCCTGCTTGGCATCTCAATCTTCAGCAACCTTCAGAGCCCATGTTGTTGGCTCTCTGATAGTTGAGTTTAGCTAGAGGATGGCAAAGTTGCTTTTGAAATGCATTTTTTAATAATAGCATTATTTAAAAAAAGCCCTCCAACAAACATTCTTGCCTTTTTTTTTTTTTTTGGTTCTTTTAAAGTCAGTAGCAGATAATTCATAGCTTCTTCTTAACCTCAGAAAGTTCAGAGCAGATGGAAGAAAAGCCAAGCAGTGAGATGAGGAAGAGAGAAGAAGCAATAAAGGAAAGAGTGAGCCGGTGGGACAAGGCTATGGGCAGAGCCGCAGGTGTGGAAGGAAGGAGACAAAAGACAGGGAAATGGAATAGATGGGAAATAACTGGGGACAAAGAGCAAGTCTGATACTATTCACCAAATTTGACACTGCTAATGACTTAAATGCTCACCTGAAGCTCAGGATGGAATTTCTGCAGGTGAAGCATTGGGTGTTGGTTATTCTCTGTATCCAGTTAATATACCGTGTTCCCATAGCAAATACTTTTCATATTTACCTTCTAAAAACTGTCATAGTGTAGTTGAAGTGTGTTGGAGAAAGGGTGTGTAAGCACCTTTTAATGTCTTTTCTTCTGTCTTGCTTAGAGCCTCTAGGCAGACATCAGTGCTTTTCAGTCACTGTTAGTGAAAAAAAGCTTTATTTAAATTTTTGTAATGTTCTTTATGCAATGTGCATTTGATCTCTGACTTCACATCTGTCTGTTAATATATTCCTCCAAAGTGGTACACACTTGTCCTGAGATATGTATTATTCATTTTACATATAATTAGTGAAATATATCTATGTGTATATTTGTATGTGTATAAACAAACACATTTTGTTGGCACTGGCACATATAACAGTGCATAAACCAGATCTCTGCAGGTTTCAGATTACCATCTTTACTGAAACTTGAACATCAGAGAGAAAGTATCCCAAACTTGCTGGGATAATAAGGGAATAGCAGCCTACATCTATGAAAGAGCCCAATGAAAAGACTTGCAGTGGGCACTTGGAACCAGGCATCCAAGAGGGGTGTACCTGCACAAGTCCTAAATCCTGGCATGTAGGGCCTGGCACCCTTCCCTCTCTGGCATACATCATCTTCATGGGATGATTGCTGGGTTACAGGAGGGGTAAATTCTGAATCCCCTGGTTTTCCCCTCATGTATAGGCAGCCCCTTCAACCACTGTAAAGCCCTGAGTGGCTGTTTCCTCTGTGCAGTGTGTTACAAGATGCTGGAGGGAGGATCTGACTGGGAGGCACAGAAAGCTGAGCGGAGCAGCCCAGTGGGTTACTGGTGACCTTGAGCTTGCACATGCCTGTTAGCAGGGTGCAAACAAGCAGAAGAGGAAACTTCAATGTTCCCTTTTAAGAGCTCTCAGCTGTGGTGAAAATGATGGTTTTGCCTCTGCGACGCCTCCCCTGTGGATGAGAGCTGGTGGTTCCTCACCTGCCTTCTGTCAGTCCGAAGTCATCAGCTGCCATCCAGATGCTGCCATGAGCAGAGGTGTGACATTCTCCTCAGCATTAGCCTGTTGGGTAGCGCTGGAGCTTCCAGCCCAAGCTCCCCCGGATATGTGCCAAGAAACTTTTGGCTTCTGAATCAGTATTAGTATCTGTGGGCCCTGTGCCAGGGAAGCAAAGCGAAAGTTCCCCAGCCAAAAATGCACAAATTAAATTTTGCTCTGGATTTAATTGATGTTGAACTGTGGTGGATGTGAAGTCTGAACTGTAGAAGTTGGAGCTGAATGGATGGGGTGGGAGAGGAGCCTTTCAGGCTTGCCTGGGGTGATAGTTTTAAGTAGGTGATTCCTTTTTCCCTGTTTTGCTGCCAGTTTTGTGATTGTCATTTGTGTTGTGACTGTGTAACCGGCTGACTTGACTTGTGCCATGAAAACATTTATAGCATTTAATGAAATAATCCTTTTATTTTTCAGAAGAATCATTGCACTTAGAAAATTTCAAATGCTCTATTCTCATTTTATACTGCTTGAATTTTACCAGGTTTCGGAAGGTCAAGAGATTTGTGTAATTGAAGCAATGAAAATGCAGAACAGTATGATTGCTGCTAAAACAGGCAAGGTAAGCTACCTTGGGTCACTTAAAACCATATGCAGCTTGTCAAACAGGATAGAATTTAAAAAGGAAAGAAAGAAGGTTCTGGTTGTTAAGGAATTAAGTCTGATTGTTGTAAGTCTTTCAAAATGAGGTGTCTTTAATTTTGTAACATTTGCATCTGCTGTGAATGCTGTTATAAGTAGTTCCGAGCCTTAGATAGCACAGCAGGAAATAGTTTTACTGGCCTCAGAAATTCATATAACTCTCTTTCTCCTAAATGATTTGTTTTCTCTGATGTTACAATGCCAAGTTGAATTGAAAGGTGTTGCAGACTATTTCTCCAAATTTCATCTTTCCAGAGAGCAACCGAAGAAGAGACATCTCTTCGCCAGTTAATTATTTAATGGCAAACAATTTGCCATTAAAAAAACCCCACTCAGAACAAGGCATAGAAAGTGCTTTTGCAGGAGGAAGAGAGAAGCAATTTTTTAATTATTGTGACTGTTAAATATCAACCCCAGATCTGCACATTTGTTAAGCTTTGCAAGGCTGTGCATTGTGATATCTTCTGAAGGATCAGCATTGTAGCCCTTGAGCTGGGACTCTCCTGCAGTGTAGAATGTGCCAAAGCCAGCGCTTAGGGCAGGAACTGATTAAGCTTATATGACGAGGGCATGCCTTAAACCCCAGCTGGTTTGGGGACTGTCAGCCCCCAGCTTGGGGCCTCAGAGCATCCCTGTGTCAAGATTATAATTCACAGCCTGAAACCATCACCTAGACATGGGCCCCTGATACATCCTTTCCAATGGGAGAGCATAGTCTGGATCTGGGTATATATTCTCTTCTGTTGCCAATTTCCTTACCTGCCCCAATCCATGTTTGCCTGGGGTCGAGCTGCTCTGCTCTGCTCTGCTCTCCCAGTGCAAGGCCCCTCATCCCAGAGGGAGGCAGCAGGGAGCCTGACTCTCCAGGCAGGGACGGGGTTACCCACTGGCAAGGTTCACCGAGGTTTTAGGACAGGCCTCTATGCCAAGGACTGTTTGTGTGTTTACAAGAAAGGCTTATTTGGCACAGCTCTAAAATTGTTACTGAGGCTGGGTCCCAGGGCTTGCCTCTTCCAGTGTATCCAGTGGAAAATTGGGTCTCAAGAGAAAAAAATAGTGAGAGAGGGAGTATGTTCCTTTTCCCGTTGCTCTGACATTGCTACTTTATTATTTCATTTCATGCATTGATTTCTATATAATTTATTCTCTCACTTCATTAATATTTCCAAGCATTTAGTTTTTCATCTTTGCTTCTTTTAACCCCTTATTGCTGCTTTTTGCATCCACTGTTTTTAACTAATGAGTATTTGTAATTAAAATGCCATTCCCTCTCCCACCCCCCCATTTATTTTTCTTTAACCCTCCCTTTCCCACCATCGTGTTCTGCAATCCATGGGCTTATTCCTTAAAATCCTGCCTGTACTTCTCCCAATAAGAAATATTTCCACTCACTGTGTACAGATGCCACGTAAAAGCTGTGTTTGGCTTATTAATCCTCCAAGGTGGGATGTGAATGGTGCACAGGCTATGCAGTGTGCCTGATGTGTGCCTTGCAATGTCCCCTTGGTGCCCCAAATTTAATAATTAGGAAATTATTTGATTCTTTAGAATTTTAAGAATTTAAAAAAAGACAAGTTTTGGGCTGTGTAGAAATGAAGCTGCTAAACAGAATTCATCCCGTTCTGCAGTGCAAAGTCATGGCTCTAAGTACTAAAATAACTTGGCCCGTCCACAGGAATGGGATGTTTGGTACTGGCTGTTAGTCCATGTTTTGATGCTTTGAAACTGTTTTGAAACTCAGTTCATTTGTCTTCAGCTGAAAGATGTTCCCATTTTCATTCCTGACTGAATTCCTTTTCTGTATCAAACCCCATCTTCCTGTTTGTAATTGTGAGAAAAGTGGCTTGTTTTTGTCTACTTTGAGTTTACTCCAGCTGCAGGTGGTTTAAAAATGAGGGAAAGATGGAGAGGAACTGGCGTGCCTCCTGTCTTCTATGGGACAGCTGTGCCTGGGTCAGAACAAGGAGCTGGCCCCACTGCATTTCAGAAATCACTGGGGAGTTTGAAACACTAGTTAGTTCCAATGTTTGCTGAACCTTGGCTTTGTAGAAAAAGAAAAGCAAGAGGTAGGATGTTTTTCACACTGTTTTCATCTCTTAAAAGATTGAGGCTCAGGAATCAGGTAGGCTGCCTAGCTACTGATTTTGGAAATAAAGCCCTTGTTTGTACATATCACGCTGTTTTTCCCCGTGTAGTGTTCAGCATCATTTCTTGAGCAGTGCTGTGAATGTGCCTTGCTACAGAGTCAGAGATCTGCTTACAGTTCACAGGGCTTTAGACTGTCAAACGTGTGTGGGCAATAGTGTGGCCATCATAGCCTGGTACTTTGGGTATGCTGTGGATTTCCTTTAGGAGCCCAAGATAGCATTTGGATTATTAAAATGAGCCAACTGCTGAACAAGGATTTGGGCATGTCAGCGTGAGCTCGGAATTAATATTGCAAGCAAATATAATATAAAGCTTCAGATATTTTCTGGAGGTCCATGTGCTGAAAGGGTATTCAAATATGTTGCAACCTTTTATAAAGGAAATAAGGGACTAGTATAAGATTTTGTGTTTTAAAATTCAGGAATCTGCACATGAGTATACAATTCATCTACAGATGTAGCTGCATTTATTTGACAGTGGTAGCCCTTTGCCAAGTTCAGTTATGTTAAAGGATCACAATTCAGATTTGAATCATCTATCCCAGCTGTCTGGGAATTGAGAGAAACCTATTTCATGGCTGCAGTCCCAAAATTCAGCTATACTTAAAAACTGTAATGCAAGAAATAGTGGAATATTTCATTGAAACATCCCAGCGTAAGTGCTGGAGTGTCGGCCTGTCCTCTGAAAGATATACAACTTTAGTAGTAAATGAACAGCAGTGCAACCAGGTGGAAGAAAGGTGCTTTTGAATTTTTAAAGCGCTATCTCCATCTGATGTTTAGGTCTTCAAGTACCTCTGTCTTAAGAAAACCAGCTAGTGGTAGTTGCCTGAGGGGATTGGACATGATTTGGTCAAGAACTGGAGAGGTGCTGGAGTCTCCATTCTCACAGGTACTCAAAACTCAGCTGGACTCTGAACACTGGAGGTTGAGCAGTCACACTCTTAAGGCCCTTCCAGCAGATGTGCATCTGTGATCCCTGGGGTGGTCATCATGTTGCACAGTGGCCATTTACCCCATGCATGCAGATGTGATATGTGTCTATATAAGCCATGTCAACCAAAACATTCCTTTCACCGTGTTATTGAGCAAGGTTTTAAATTACTGCTGTTTCTGTACCCTAGGTGAAAGCTGTGCACTGCAAAGCTGGTGATACTGTTGGAGAAGGAGATCTGCTGGTGGAACTGGAATGAAAGGTTGCCTCCACACTGTTGAATTAACTAAGCCTTTATTATTTTCATCCATAAAGTAACATTAAGGCAGTTCAACACAGAAAATGGACAGTACTATGTGCAAGATTTTATGCAGGCATATTTACTGTATCAGTGGTTAAGACAGCAAACACAGATGTTAAATCTTGGCAATGGATCCCAGATTTTTACTTTCAGAAATACTTGTACATAACCTTTGTAATGCTTTGATTTTTCAGGATCAAATAAAATCAATAAAATACCATTTCTGCTTTAAAACAGGAAAAGCCTCTTTAAAAAAAAAAAAAAAGAAAACACAACAAAAGCCCAAATCTGATTTGTCTTCTCCACAGTAATGTCCCTGGTTTGAGGCCCCAGCCAGGCTGCACAGAATTATTGGCAAGAATGAAAAATTAACCACTGAGTAAACTGAGCAGTTATCCTACCCTCTGTTTAAGTGCTGCACAAGTATCACCAATGGCTTAAATTCTGATCAGATTTATTGTAATATTTTGAATGCTTTGTATAGACTAGATTTAAATTATAGGTTAGAGGCTTTATTTTGCTAGTGCAGACTTTTGTTGTGTGTTTTCATTTAAAGTTTAAGGGATTTGTCTTTTATTCAAACTCCATGCTCAATTTTGCCCCTCCCTTTAGTCTTCTTTATACTGATTACTGCATGCAAGTCTTAACAGAAGGAGGTGGCACTGTCCTCAGATCCCTTCAGCTGCCCCAAGGTATTGCTAGAGGCACATACTGTCCCTCAGACCAGGCCTCCTCCTGAATTCTTACAGGAAAGGGAGACCAAGTCTCCGATCTTTTGTTGTGCAGACGCTTTTACTAAAGGCTGTGTGAAAAACGAGGGCTGTTCATAATACAAGACTATATCACGCTGGAAAAGCCCAGAGAGGGCCTGGAGAGGAGGAATATTTAAGAGCCTTGAACAGAAGTAAAAGGGCTGGTGACTTGGGCAAGGAGTATTTTCTCCTCCTCACTCAGGAATTCCATGCCGCACAGGATGATGTAGATACCAGAAGTGTACTGGGTCCAAAATGTTAGTTTGTGATTAACAGAGGCTCCTTCTTCCATCCTGTGCCCTAGCTTGGTAAGTCAGCAGCCACAGCCCACTGGATGCAGACATACCTCCGCAGTCCCTGTGTTCTGCAGCATCATCTGGTCCCTGTGCTCCTGCCTAGGATTCTGCTGCTGCCTGCTCCTGGGCCAGGACACTGGCTACTCCTGCCTTTGGGCTCACCTCCCACAGCTGTTCTTTCTACATACCTCTAAGTCACCCTTCCTGCTGTGCCTTGACCACTGCCACAAAGAGGAGCTGCCCTGCTCTCATTTTCTTGCCTAAGAAGTATAGAGTAATGCCACTTCCTAGAAAGCAGCCCACTGGCCAGAGGCACCTGGGCCCTTTACCGAAAGGTGAAGGATGAAAACAATCTGTGGCAGGGCTGGTCACTCATGTTCAACCAGAAAAGTTCATGATTCTGCTTGAAACTTCTGACTGAAGAGGAATTTTTCATGTTATTGAGACGCTGCTAACTCACGCAGCCAAGGGACAGGGATCTGCTTAGTGAATTAGTTTACAAAACACATCAGTATGAGGAAGGAGAGTGTTTGGGTAATACCTGTTTTCCAGGAAAATTAATGCTGTTAAAGTTGGAGAAACAGAGGCAGACACTCTGCAGATCTCCCTAGAAATCTCCTTACTGCCATCCTGGCCCTTCCTAAAGGAGCACAGTTCAGCTTCTGCAGGTTGCCCTAAACAAAAAAGTAGTGTAAAGAGACACAAGTATTCTACTTTTGAATTACTTAATTTGCTTACTCCAGCAACAAAAAAGCTTTCTGTCTGCTTTTCTAGATGAGATGCAGCAGTGCCTACTACTGCTGAAGTTTAGGCTGATTCCTTACCCTGGGTCCCTGGTCTGATTCTCTACTGTGGATCTCCTCCGGCCATCACAGGACTACTGGCAGTGAAGCAAAAGTACAATGTTGTTCCTAATGGTATCATAAGTGCGTTTAATTGTACTTTGGCTCACTGCATGGCATACATTCCCTGCTCCCATCCCTTTGGTAGCTTTGTATACTGTACAATCTATTTGTACCAAACCCTGCAGTTGAAGGAAAATATAAGGCACAGGAGTGTAACAACAGAAAGCCACAATTTTCCCAGATTGTACAGAAACCAGCACAGCTGGTTGGGTCAGGGGGACAACAGTCTTCTTTACATATTTTTTTCCCCAATTTAAATGTTGCAATAATCACAATACAGGTAGTTTGAATATTTTTATATTGTATATAAAAATCTTTCCCCCAATAGAAAGCTCAGTTTGCATACGGTTGCAAATTCTGCATTAAAGTGCTTGGCAAAAAGTCACCTTGACAGTAAGTGCTCACAACAGCTTCAGTAGGTTTGCTTTTCCTGGTCCCCAACTTCACTCACCCCTCCTATGCCCCCCCAAATCCTACAGTCACTCAGTGAACTGAAGTGGAACCTAAAGTGCTTAGAATGTTAAATTAAAAATACAATTTTAAATATAATTTTCTTATAATATCTTAGTATTTTTTCACGGTACCTTGTGAAGCTAAACATTATTTTAAAATATACCTTTCCAGTTCAAAAAAACCACACTGCGATGCAGAGTAAGAATAATCTTTAAATTTTCTCTATTTTTTCAGCAAGTTCCTATTTGTCTAGAAGCACAGAGTATCTTCAGTAACCTACTAAATACCATTACAAGTCAACATTCAGCGTGAGTTGTGCTTTACTTTGCAGACATGACTTTTAAATCAGTTTCAGCTATTAGTGCAATAGTATCATCATTATTCCATCCACCTTGGAGAACTACACATGAAATTTTGTCAGTTCAGGAAAAAAACCCATAAAATTAGTCTGTTCCTCTGCCTTTCACTGACCTCCATTGTGCACCAAGGCAAAGGGGGAAATTGAGGAAATAATTAGACCCCAGACCGGGTGTGCATATACACTGTTTTTACCCCTCATGAAAACCCAGTTCTTTGCAGCAGGTTAGTGGGGGTGAGGAGGACACTGACTACCTGGGGAGGGAGTCTCCAACTCTGGGCTTACAGGACTTCAACTCTACCACCAAGGGTCCTGGGTTGGGAAGGTTACAAGAGATCCTGCATTTTAATAAAAAGGTATTACAGCTTTCCTGGAAAGGTTACTGATCAACACGTGCTTAGTACTACGTCTTCGGCCAGGCTGTGTTACCTCCCATTTCTATTCTCGGCTTTCGCGTAGGACGTAGGAGAGGCCGTGTTTCCCTGAGGCGTCGTAACTGTCATAGTAGGGGAGCCCCACCCACTCGGGCGGGTATGTGGCTGTGCTGTACACGAAGCACTCCAGGATGCCCTCGGCACCGCCCTTCCCTTCCCACTCCACCACCTCGATTCTCATCAGGGTACGCTGGTACATGTCTGGGCAGCCTTCAAACTCATCCAGGAACTGCAGCATCTGGTCATCAACTGAGTAGATCTCCCCAGCAACATGGTGGCCCGTCCCCGGGATGTTCAGCATGTAAGGAATATTGTATTTTCCTGCAATCACCAGCGGGTACTTCTCCACCGTGCGACCCCTTCCTTGGAATTTTGCTAGCCCCTTGGCTGTGTTGATCATGTGCTTGTAGTTGGGCTGGCCCTTCTTAAGTGTGCCGTAGACAAAGACACGGGCCATCGTACCTGCAAAAGCAGCTGAAAGACAAAGGCATCTGTTACCATGTGGCTGCCCTGGAGAACCACACCCACACCACAGCACCTCGGACAGGCAAGGCTGTTTGGACATGTGCAAAAGCCTAGGTCTTTGTAGTCCTACATCACATTTAAGTATCGTACTAAATTCAAGTATCTTGAAAATTTTCAGATAGAAAATGCATCAGTGCAAAACACACCAGGACAAAGTCAACCTTTTGTAGTTCTTTGCCTTAACCAAATTACATCCCATGGCTTCTCTAAGGAATCCCCAATGTCAGCCAACACATTCCTGCGCCTCTGGAAAAGCTCTCAACCCTTTTTAATTTTTCTCTTTCCCACCACTGTGTGAGCTGTGCTGCAGCAAGTGTGTGGTGCCGTGCTCAGTGACACCCCAAAAGCAAATGTAACCTGGTGTTGAGTTATCTCATGGACATGCTGATGGATTTGCAATAACCCCAGCTCCAAAGTCTCACGTGCTGAGTGACCAACCAATGCAGAACAGCAAGCTGTGGGTGCCAGGGAGGGAAGTGGGGTGGCCTGTGATAACCACATCCCGAGCAAGCAGGGGCTGTCTGAAAGGTGCCATTGAAGTTTGTCCTGCTCCTTCAGGGGAGGGGAATGATGATGGCTGTAAATATGAGGTGATTTGCAGAACTGGTCATGTTTTCCCAAACCCCTTCACCCCTCCTGTCTGAGGGAGCTGTGCATGTTCCTTCCATTTATTTACCTTGGGGGCTTGTGGGAGGAGAAATGTGGTATTTCAGCCCTAATGAAACTGGAAGCTATGGCTGCTGGCAGGAAGACCAGGTAAGGCCGTGCTCCTCTTGTCCCCAGACAGACACTCCAAAGTGCTAAAGCACCTCAGGTCTGCACACATGCTAAACCTCTCTTGAAAACAGACCCTGCACAACCATTTCTTTTATTTGTGAGCATAAAACACTCAAAATTGGTTTAAATGGGATAAAAGACTGACTTTACTGAATGGTGTGGGGGGGGAAAGGTACCTCCATCATTCCTGTGTTACTTTTCATACTGTGCCCAGTTTATCTCCTGTTATTTCTGTAAGGCAGAAGCAGTTCTTGCACTGTGATGTTTTTCCACATTTTACCCTTGGTCGCTGACTGGGCAGAGCCTGCCTCATCCACAGTTGTCTGGTTGGGCCAGACATCCAACACCCAAGGAGCATGTGCAGCTCCTCTTGGGAAGAGGGCGTTAAACAGTGTATTTCAAGTTTGAAAAATCTTTAAAAACAGACTGGAAGTAGAAATGCAATCTGTTCTCTGCTATTTATTCTTATTTTAGTAAACTGTTAGGTCAGTTATCCAAAAGGGTGCATTGGTGGCCAAGAGCAGTGTCATTTAAAATCCTCAGTAGCAAAGCAATTTCCCCCTTGGTGAAGTAAACAGTTTTTCTCTCTATCAAAATACAGTTTTCCAAGCAAAAACTGTGCCTTTATTTACTGACAAACTGCTTCCACACGGGAAAAAGAACATACTGATTTCCCCCCCCCCCCGTATTTTATCAGATATACTCCAGAGTAATTTATCCTTCATGACATAAAT